AGGCGAGGAGAGAGAGAGAGAGAGGGATGCAGCCCTTTTGCAGAGCTCTGGATTGAACCATGTGCTGCAGCAGTGCGACACCTTCCAATCTGCCAGCTCCCGGCTACGCTTGGCGACTGGCGTGCGAACACAACGAACGTTGTACCGCTCACCGCTCATATCACGATTCTACGTCAATAGCGTATACGTCATTCAAGTTGTAGAGGTTTTCCGGGGTAGCTCTCTTTCTCCATCGCCCCCTCTCAGTCTTCCTGCTCTTCCCTTCTCTCTTTTTCTTCCTCTTTCCTCTTCCTTTATCCCTTCTCTCTCGCTCTCTCTCTCACCCCCCACCCCATTGCAAGCCGTGACTTTGGCGCGCCTCCTGTGATTTGTGCGCGGAAATGTTCGCATGCGTGTGCAATTCTTCAGTTTCTGAGCGCCTGTGTGAGTGTGTGTGTGTGTGCGTGGGAGGGGGGGCAGTGCACACGGCAAACAGTGACGTTTCTGATGCGGGTGCGGGAGGTAAAAATAATATACGGCGCGAGCAGCCGGGGAAGCGGAGAGTTGGAAAAGGAGGAGGCCCTTTGAGCAGATCGACTCTGTTGCGTACTCTTCGCCCACAACAAAACAAGAAGAGCGTGTTATTCACCCTTCCCATCGGCGATAATCGTTACGTCATTGTTCCGCCCGACACGCTCTCGTTACAGTTCGCAGTGTAGTACAGCGGTATCGCGTGCGTGGGGCCTCAGCTCGGCCCGGCCCGGCGGCGAGGTGGCAACGAGAACCGCAACACGCTTGATAGAATGTGATTGGGGGAGCACTTAATCACACGGGCTAGCGTGTGAGCCGGCCCAGCACCACGCGCCAGCACACCGGGGACCAGCGGCACCGAAAACTTGGCCGATATTTTGTGCATTATAACCAGCGAAGAAAATGCAAAATGACTTTGCAGAAAATCACCAAAGACAAAACGCATGTCGGCCTGAATTTTTGCTCGTCAGGCCGTAAATTAACGCTACACTTTGTAGTGTATTTATCGGTTTTAGGAATAGTCGTAATTACTGCCATCAAGCATGTGTATGATGCAATCCTCTCTCCCGTCATTTTAAACGTAAAGCGTCCGTAAGGCATCATTGATATATTTGAAAAAAACCATTCAACTAGTGTGTTATTTAATTTGTGAACTCCCTGTGAGTAGAAGTGAATAGCGTTCAATTTGTTAATTCTTTGTACAAGACTTGTACTTGAATTCATTTTTTAATCCTTAATCTTCCTTTTTACCGGTGATATCTTACCTAGCAGTTGTCATGTTCCCAGAAAGTCGTTGAATCTCTCTGGGCTTATGTGGATTGAAACGATAAGTATGCGAATTCCATTTCCACAGAACCGTGCCTGATGCAGTTCAGGCACAAGTAGTTTTAAATAATACACGAAATAGTTATTTACAGTTTTACCATTTTATTTGGACCCCGACACAAAAGCTGATGGCGAATGTTATTTCACTTTCGGCTCTAAACTTGATACACATTGTTGTGCATTAATCCATTTTCGGAATTATCGTAACTTCTGACACCATGCATGTGTATAATTCAGTCCTGCCTACCGTCAATTTGAACCTATAGCGTCCGTAAGGCATGATTGGAAAATTTGGAAATGCCAATTTAACTGGTGCGTTTTTCAGTTCGTAAACTCCCTGCGAATAGAAGTAAGTTGTCTTGGCGTTTAGTTTTTTAATTCTTCTTTGTCAAAAGACGCAAGTCGCAAGTCTTATTTATTTCACATTAATTATTTAAGAGAAAAGACTAATTAGGAGAGCAAACTTGAAGTTTGGGTACTTACAGGTTTCACTATGCACGCACCTTTAGTTTCTCTTTTCTTAAATAACTGTTCATAAAAGCCAGGCAAATTTATTTTCCCGTGCGTGCATGCTTTGTCTTTCACAAAAATGACAAAAGCGTTTTCTTTCCATTGGTTATTTTTCCAGGTGTCTAATATTACTTTTGCCTGTTAAAATGCACATTTGTTCCTGGACTCATTTCTCAATCCTCAATCTCATTTTTTAACAGCGTTATCTTACCCAGCAGTTGTCATCAATAGACACATTTACTCCCGTCACGTTGCCGGTTAGTAGTTGAATTTCTCTTGGCTTATATGGATTGAAGCGAGTAGCATGTAAATTCCATTTCCACAGAAACGTGCGATTTTTTAGTTCAGACATGTAGAACCGTTCGTTGTAAACTATGTAAGGGCCCTACAACACGGAAATGCTAGGCTAGCTAGAATAGAGAAAAATGGCTCACCAGCCGCGAGTTTGACACCCAAAATCTCAAAAACGTACTTAATATTGGTTCTTTAATAATACTTACCGCGAAAGAGTTGATATTTTTGCAGAGAATGTCCGACTGGCAAAGGAGTACTAGGACCGCCACAAGTATGTAGGACATCATTATTGATCGCCGCGGGCTTGCCATTGCTGTTAGGCGGTACACATTCAACCCTTATGTACTTTGTTGTGCATAACATGCACAGCTGTAAGCAGCCGTAGTTATCCACCAAATATCATGCATAACTATGTAAAACTTCAGCATTACTATGCACAAATTTGTGCATAGTGGCCTTAGTTTTGCATACTTATGCATGAAAACCTGTGCATAGCTATGGCTTCATAAATTCCTCCAAGTCTTATGCACAACAGAATGCCTAAGGATTTAGTGTGTACTAGAAAGGAACCTTCAACGCCCGCAGGCTAAGCCGTGGTGCGGTGGGCGAGGTTTGCGTCCTGAGTACTAGCTGGCCTCGACCATGCAGCAGAAAGGCGAGGAGAGAGAGAGGTGCAGCCCTTTTGCAGAGCTCTGGATTGAACCATGTGCTGCAGCAGTGCGACACCTTCCAATCTGCCACCTCCCGGCTACGCTTGGCGACTGGCGTGCGAACACCACGAGCGTCGTACCGCTCACCGCTCATATCACGATTCTACGTCAATAGCGTATACGTCATTCAAGTTGTAGAGGTTTTCCGGGGTAGTATTATTTGCTTTCTGAAGAGGGATTGAGATCAGAGTCCCAAAAACGCGACCCGTATTATCACACCCGGCGTAACCGAAGTCGATCTCTAGAGACAGTGAGCTTATTGGCTGTGCGAAGCCTACGGAGCATTAAAATCATTAAAAATTTGTGAACTCCACACTGATGGTCTAACATTGTGCCTATCGCGGGTTTGCTTTTGTTTTTAACCCGGGAGTGAAGCTACTGCGCCTGCATAGCCTGCATTTTATTGTCATTCCCGCATAAAAATATGCAAATTTGAATTGTGCATAAGACTTCTAGGGTTTAATGTAGCCATAGTTATGCCCGACGTTTTGTGCATAACCATGGCTGCATGCCTTACTGCATGTTCATGCACAACACTGTGTGTAATGGTTTAGTATCTGGACGCGGCGCAAAAGCTAATGGCGGATATTTTTTAAAGTTACGGTATGGTTACGGTAAAACTAATTAATTACAACGTACGTTGTTAGCGATAACGATATACGTTTGTAGTGCATTAATCGGTTTTGAATTACTGCTACTTCTGACATCATACGTGTGTATATGATTCAGTCGCGCCTCCCGTCAGTTTTATTCAACAGCGTCCCCGTAAGGCACGATTGGGAGATATCAAAACATCTATATCATCTTGATTTTAATTCATATACGTTTGGTCTAAATGATTATCTCTATGCGCCATCTACGTGCCATTAACTAGCATAGGTGAACGGGGATATTTTAAAAATTTGAACAATAATTCCCTTGGCTCTGGATTGAAACATGTTGAAGACAATATGAGCGTAAAGAACTCATCTATATATATCTTGATATAGACGTCTCAATTTGGGAACGAAAGTGTGTACTTAGATCATCTCTCAGACCTATTTGCTAGATGTCTATTAGACCATCTTCTTTCTGTACGTAGACGTCTGAAAATGTCTAAGTCGTCTATGTTCCTTATGGGGAGCGAATGGAACAGCTTTCCTCACTTAATCGAGCTCATCCGGCCATAGAAACGAGAGGGAAAATGGGAGCTGTTTTGGCGGGAGATGAACAAACTGTTGGTAGAACTGTAGTTGAAGCTTTCCCGTTCCTGCCCTTTGTTGTTCCTTGATATAGACCCTGTCTCACTCCCTTTTCCTCTCGCGGGCTGTACTAGCTGTCGTATTTTGCCTCACTTTTCCCAATGACAGCATGCCGGCCCTCCATATTGGCAGATATCCAGCTGGATATAATGCCTGTATGAGGGGAGGACAAATCAACAATATCCGGTACCCCCTTCTTCCTCTCTCCCCCAAGTTCCACCCGGCCATTCCTCTGTTTTTACTGGCGGGTCAGCGTTTGGTTTTCAGTGCGTTGTTATGGTGACTGTAGAGGCGGCGGATGGATGGAGGGAGTGCCTGCTGGAGACTTCTCTCTTTCTTTTACTTGTTATTTTCAGAGTAAAGGGAATAATTTTGGCGGTCCGGCCTCTGCTCGCCGGACGAATGGCGGGCCATCGGCGATTGGGACGAAGCGATAAGACGGACATCGATACGATGGATATCGGACGCGACAGCCGACAGATGAGGACTATTTGGAGAGGCCGCGCACCCGCTTGCTGTACAAACGGGAAGGGGGAGGGGGCGTGAACTGTAGTCCCATGTGCGGTGAGTCGTTCCACATCAAGTCCACAGGCACGCGAAATATTATTTTCCTTCGGTAAACGTGTATATGGTTCAGTTTAGCGTATTGATTGAATGTGCCAAAGTGACAAGTATTTCGACTTATACATAAATTCACACATCTGTTAAACTTGGTAATGATGCGGGCAATACTCCAATTTGTTCTGAAAGTTAAATCACACCCTAATTGAAATTGGGTGAACTGTTTGTTACTTTTACGCTCCGAGGCTTCCCATCGCCGCCGCGTTATTTCTCGGGCCGACCTTAACCCAGTTTCACTTCGACAA